ATCAAAACTAACGCATGATCAAATTCAACGCAGGTGGTCCAATAGGACCTGCAGTTTTGTACTGAGCCAAGCCAACGGTAGTTTACTGCTATGTGGTCGATCTGAGTTAGCGTGCCAGTTGAATTGGAGCGCCAAGTTGCTGTCCGTTGAGATCTGTGTCGGAAGTTGGTACTAGGTAGGAACAGATGACGATCTGCGCAGAACTGAAGAAGTCGATCGCCATCTGTTCACTGGGAGGGCAGAGCGCAACGACCGCGGAACAAGCTTCCGATGCGCTCAGTTTTCCAACCTGCACCTTAAATTCACCTGACAGCACAGTTGTATTGGAACTTTAGCTCAATCAAATGAGCTTAATGAGGTTATCGTCAAATTGGTCCTTTTGCGTATGAGAACTGTAGTTAGTCTGCGTATAAGCTGCGATGATGAACAAACCCGTTTTGATGTTGCCTTCCTTCTGGATACTGACTGACCCCTGGAGTCGCGTCCCACATCAGCGACTGGTGATGGGAATCAATATGAAATCAAAGTGAAATTTTGGCTTTATTATTTAGTAGACTACCTACGCCGTGCGAACATTTTATACGCAGCAGACATCAGTCGCCAGGGGGTCCACTGTAAGAGCCAGACAAGCGTGTTAATTTACCTGCATAAGAGCGTTCACATTCAAAATCCCTAGATTCAAAAGTTGATGAGGCTTCATAATCTGCATAAGATGTATTGATGCGTCATCCACCAGGAAAACTGCAAGTTGCTTAGGCGAATGCCAGAAAAGTTGTCTGAGGGAATATGATGAATGAGGAAGAAGGAGAGAATGCCATGGGTTGAAGATGGAAGAGAAAGAATAAGACAAGGATTTTGATATTTGAGCACTAACTCACTTATCACTACCCACCCGGCTGGATGCCATGAGTAGTGCGATTCTGATTGTCTGGCTCGAAGATTGATGCAACACAAGAATCGTTTTAGTCTGTTTTATGGGCAGCAGTAAACAGAAAAATTATGGTCATCAATCACAGCCTTTATTTATACTAAGAGCCGAATTGCAAAGCATTGGGGGGAGCGAAATAGAGGCACTCTACACGTAATGATTATTTCTGTGCAATATCATATATTACAGAAGAACAGTTCAAAACTCACCGAGTACAGATTTTGTAACGTGTAAATCCGTTTGATTCTTTCCGGTACGTCGGTTTTATTTGGAACAGACTCTTTGGAGGTGGATGATATAGGTTTTCCTTTATCAGGAACAGTTTTGTTCTCTGAAATGAAAGTGCATTGTTGCGACATTGTAAAAACCCTCGAGGAACGCGAGAACACCTAACAAAATGGGTTTTAGCAGCTATTCGTGAGCTATCTGAGCTACCTCAACCAAAGACCGACGCTAATATCTTTAAATCCCTACCCCAGGTTATGGTCTGACCACCACGGAGTTACTTCCAGCCTTGCCCAACACGTGCCAGTTGTAACATGTTTGTTTTCCAGAGCTGGAAATCAGGCTAGTAGTTAAACAATGTGCAGTGGTGAGACAGCACCGACACCGATGGACAACATACGTTGCAAATGAGCTTCTTGTGACCTCGACGCTGGGCAAGACAGGTCTTGGCTGAAAAGTACTTCGGGGCAGCAACGACAATTACAAACATTTACGCCACACCCAACTCGATCGTACTTTTTTGATATCCCAATCAGAAAGAGACTGTTTATCATAGTGCTGACCTTTCTAGCCTACTCCACTTTGCTTTGAATGCTCAAATAAGCATATAAGAACACTACACAAGCAAGGTATTCACACATGCATAATGGATTTTATTAGCAAGGTAGTGAGTCACTCACCGCTGTGGGATTGGGTCTCACCATCGGGTACCACCCCACATAAAATCTCCTCAACTTTAGGTGGTACTGTTACGACGAACGCCGGGTGAGCACAAAGTGACGGCACCTCAACGGTAAGCAAATAAATGCAGCTTTCCAGTTCGTTCACAGAGATAATCTCGGGGGAATGTTCATTGCCGCACGTATAGCGAACTTCAGAACTTCTGGGTTTCGAAGTCAAGTCGCAAACACTGCCATTCGTATAAAATTGGCTGTGGTATTTTAAGCTTTGATTGGTCTAAAAAGTGATCGAAAAGCAAGATCATACTTACGAAGTCCACCGTTTCATTCCATATGGTTTCTGATTCGTAATAACCTAAAACTGTCTCACTTAGACGTTCCTCTCGTTCCTCGTGAAACTGCGAGATTTTCTTTCCGTAACACAGCTCATAAGTCCACCAATCTTTCGTCTGCAAAAGGTCATATGAACGTGAAGGTTGCTTACGAATAAAAGACACTTGGAGCTATTAAGAGGGGACAACAGTTCGCGCACGTATGAGTTATTCAACGATGGGAATGAACCAGACCGTGTTTCATTTCCCAAATAAGGAATCCTGCAATTGAACTTTTGGCCATATTTGGAGACCATTTCGAAATTCTGAAATAGGCCCTTGGAATGGGGTGTGGGATAAATTGCGGAAATAAGCTAGGTACCTCATTTTCTGGCAGTGGAGTAGCTTTCAACAGAACGTCGTATTTGATGTTCGTCGAAACCTCCTGGCAATCGTGGAGCCCGAAAATCAAGCAAAAATAGAAGAAGAAGAATTGTCCGCAAAATGTTAACATTCTGGCCAGAGAAAGTAGTTCGGAATGATCTGAAAGCCAGAAGGGGATATACACTTTATTCTCTTTCTGTTATACGCAATTATTTCGGTATTTCCAGAACGTTTATTACGACCTAGAGGAAAGAATCAACATGAACGGTTTTTATGACTAATACTGAGTTTATCTTTTGCTCTGAGAATCGTCATTAACATAGACCGGATTACAGAGAAGTGAACTTTGCTGATCACTCTCAAACTCACAATGCATACAAGGTAAATGACAACGGGTAAACTAGGTGGAAAATTATGTGATAAGTACCTGACCAAGATATCCTAAGGATAGCTGGCATGGAGAAGTGTAAACTTAGGAGGGTTCATAGAGTAAGTGTCTGGAGGACACCAAATCATGGTGAACCCCAAGCGGCTAGGCCACTTCTAGTGGAATTCGCTGAACAATCCAGTAGAAATCAACTACTGGCAAACTCAGGGAAAA